AGTACATGATACAACACATTTCTGAGCCTTGAAGGGGCTCAGTGGCGTAAATCAACTTGCTTCTCAGCTTCCTCACTGCCAGCAAAAGGATCTGTTGGTGCAGGTCTGCTATGTTAGTTACTACAGATCAGGCATGTGCTTTCCAGGTTTCAAAATTGTAGCTCCATTCTCTCCACTTTGTCTTTATAGATTTATGCCTCTAAAAATAAAAATAATTTGCCTGTTCTTTTAGTGGTTTTCTTTGGGGGTGGGTGTTGGGGCAGGGTGATAGAAGTAAATATGTACATGTGATATGTGTTTGTGGTTGTATGAATGTGTTCTTTTATTACTACTTTCAGGATTCCCTTTTCTTTCCTTGGTAAAGCAGTTTTAGTGGCAGTCTTTCTACAGTGTGACTAAAATAAATATCCAAAAGGTAGCAACTGGGTGAAATATCTCTGAGTGTTCTTTGAAAAATGCATAACTGTTGTACTCTAGTGTGATTATTACAGCCTCAAAGAGTTTGTAGGAGGAGACAAGGATGTTTTAGAGTCCTCACTATGTGTCTAGCACTATGCTCCTCTCCTTAGGATATGCTATCAAATTACATTTTAATGTAGTAAAAATATCAGGAAGCAGATATTATTAACTTTGTTTTACAAAAAGGAAACAGAAGGTAGCCCATAGGCTAAAGAAACACACAGCTATTGAATAAAAAATAAGGACTCAACTAAGGTCTGCTTGAAACCTATGCCCATAATCTTGCCACAGCAGCAAACTAAATTCATTATGTGGCTAAAACTCCACAAAGTAATTGAATAGTGCACTGTTACTCACAATTATCAGAATTCTTTCTTGTCACCAACTCATGCTTGACTTAAAAGAGGGAAAGGGATGGCTGAGAATGTAGACTCTGATTGGAAATTCTAACTCATGCTGTGACCTTGGGAACATTGCTTTACTTTCAGGGCCTCAATTTCTACATCAGTAAAACAAGGTCATCAGAATAAATGGTCTGTTACATTCTGATGATCTATCCTGCAGATGGTGAGCTGGAGGTGCTGAGAGCTTCAACAACGCACCCAAGTCAGATGGGAAGTCAAATGCTTGGCCACCCTCAAACTCTCTGTTTATGCTCTGCAAGAAACTTCCCAACAGACAGTTCGACAGCCTCCCAAATGCCAATGGGCATGAAATATGATTTTCTCCCAAGTCCCTCTTCAGAACTGAATCTTTCCATGTCTCCTTCAGGGACTGCAGGGCCTCATCTAAACTTAAGATAAATAAATACTCCAAGATGTGGGATAGAAATGGAAGTCAAAAGGAGAGACTGGGGAAGGAGTTAGCGAACCTTGGACCTTTTACCATATGGCCTCAGCACTTTTGATTATTTTATGAATGCATGAGGTGACACATTGGTTTCTTTAAAGCCATTTTTACACATACACCCCTTTTAGGGTTATAATTCATGTGAATTTAGATAATCAGGTAATGGGGTTTAGTGACTGAAACAGTGACTCTGGAAGGAAAATATCTCAAATTATTTATAATAATAATTGATTCTTATACTTGTGTGGTATTACCAAGGCAACACTAAAATGGCAATAACTTCCATTTGAGAGATGGAAAGGACCATAGACACAATTTTCCCAAGTCCCTGTTTCAAATATCTAAGGAATCTAAGACTCAGACAGGCAATGTGACTTGAGCAAAGAATTGACCAAAGCAGTGGTGAGTCTTAATTCAGTGCTTTCCCCGCGACACACCATTGCTTCATCGCATGTAGTGTCAGCACACCTCCCACTACAAATATCATAGTGTGGATTTGGAACACCACGACTGATGTCTACATGATTGGATACTTCTCAATTTCCTGATTGCTTTGGTTAATAATGTTCTAGGCAAAGTAACTCTTAGATCATTAATAGGGAATACAGATTTCAAAGAGAAAACGTGGTGATAGAATCCTAATTTTAACATCAGAAGATGTCTACCCACCATTGTGGCTGTCTTAAAATGAAATAAGACCATTTTATATTTTGATGTAAAATAAACAAGTTTAGTAAAGTTTGTTTTCATTTAGTAATTGCATGCTCTCTAAATACCTTCAGGCATTTTCTATATGCCTTGAATGAATTATCTCATTAAATCCTCATAACACTAAATGAAGTAGGTATAGTTCATACTCCCATTCTCTGGAGCCCAGTGATATGAGTTTCTTAAGGTGCACACCTCGTATTTGGTAGAGTTGAGATATAAACACACACAGATCTACTCTGGAGCTCAGGACCTTTGCATCTGAGCTATCTTCCCACCTCGAGAACTTTTACATGAAATACATTGAAGAAAGATTTTACAAATCGTTAAGGTGGGCCATTTTATTACAGTTTTGTCAACTTTATCATCACTATGAAGTCTGAGCCAAATGTTTCACTCATATTTGGTGGCTATTTGTTTAGCAGTGTCTTTCTCAGCTCTTGGGTCTCTATTTTCTTCCTGTTTGTCAATGAACTGCCTGATGACATCAAAAGTGGTCTATGACTTCTTAGGACATTCACTTATAAATTTGTCAAGAAACATTTTGTTTGTTTGTTTAAGATTAATTTACTCCAAATGATGGCTCATTGTAATTTCTTATTGGCAGTTTTCTGAAATTTTCATTTGTCTTGTGAGAGAGAAGATATCAAAATTCCAGCATTTATAAGACTTGTAAAAATAGGTAAATTCTTCAATGTCTTTGTTTCTCAGCTTCACTAGTTGAAAAATAAATAAAATAAAACGAAAGGACGTATTTTTTCTTTTATTCAATAGTTATTATTTGCATTTTTAATTACAAATAAATGTTTATTGAGTTGTTACATAAATAACCCATTTAGAGAGACATCGGTTTAAATGCTGACTTTGCCCCTACTAAATGGTTTCATATATGTTTTCTCGTTTACAATTTGTAAAAAGTAGTACCGTTTATTATCACTTCCTCCCAGGGTGGCTGTTCAGACGAGATGAGATCACATGTGGGAAGAGTAAACCACAATGCTTATCTCATAATTGGTGTTAAATAATTGTTTCTCATGTATTTACCCAAACATATTCACGTCCAACACTGCCTCTTTCTAGTGTAAGACCTTGTTACTGACTAAGCAGATTGCTTATACAAGGTAAGCTGTTCCAACATTTGCCTGAAATGTTTTCTTTCCCATTCAACATTGCTTGTTTACATGGTGTCGGATCAAATGGAAGAGAGAACAATGTGATTCACGATCTTCCTCCAAGGAGGCAGCTGCAACATAAAGGATGTCTCAGGAAACAGGATAATCTGTTTATGTGGCCACAACTCTGATCCCTGACCTGTCTTAATCCTCAGCAGTGGATATGTGTGGCACATTTTCCTCCAGGTGGAACTGAACGTTGGAGGGGGTTTGGGGGAAACACTTTCTGTGTGGGTACTTTTCTTATATTGTTGCTGATAGCTTGAAAACCTGCAGTCAATGTTTTAAATAATCTTTTTCTTTGTCAGGCTCAAGAGTTCACGTCTCTTGCTTTGCAAAAGACACCCAGATTTTCTTGAAATCCCATCTCTCTTGAGGGTTTGGGATGCTCTTGGGTATCTGCCACAGTAAGAAAACAAGCTGAAGGAATGTGGAAATGTGAAGCCATCTGGCTGCTGGTCCACTTTCACACCGGCTCTAGGGGTCACTGAGACCCCTGCAAGGGCTGTTGAGACCCAGCTCCGACAGGAAACATTTGATCTCATCCTTGCAGTGCCCGGACATGTGTACTCAGATACGTGGATTGTCTCCAAACTGGGTGGTGAGAGGAGATTTGAATTGGGGAACTTGAAGGAGAACTATCCACGTCCCAAGTCCCAAGAGGTTTGATTAATATCACATTTTGTTACAAGTCCATTTTTTTACCCTTGAATGTGTTTCATTGGAAATTGCAAACAGTTAGCATAGGAGGGAATTTGCTTAATGGTAGATGCATGACAATGAATGAATGACATCCAGTCCCTGCTTTCCAAGGTCCCTGGTAGTAGGCAGACAAATGAGCAGGCATTGAGAATATGGTGTGATGTGTTAAGACAGGTTCTAGCAGAGACAGATTAAGACATGTTCATTCATAGAACAGAAGGTGGGTATCTGTTTCACTTTGCAGGATCCAAAATGACTAGACTTGTCATTTATTCAATAAATAATGAATACCTGACTATGTATTGTGCTTGTGTGCTAACTCCCTGGTGTGCCGTTTTAGTCTGGTTCAGTGGCTATGAGAGAATACCATGGATAGAGTGGCTTGCACAACAGAAACATATTTCTCCCAGTTTGGAGGCTGGGAAGTTCAAGATCAAGGTGCCAGCAAGGAAGATTTCTTCCTGAGGCCTCCTCTCTTGGTTTGCAGGCAGCTGCCACCTCACTGTGTGCTCATGTGACCTTTTCTTTGTGCACATGCTCCATGTGGTGGGGAGGGAGAGAGAGCATGCTTTCTGGTGTCTCTCTTTTTTTTTTTTTTGGAGACAGAGTCTGTCACCAGGCTGGAGTGCAGTGGTGTCATCTAGGCTCACTACAACCTCTGCCTCCCAGGTTCAAACGATTCTCCTGCCTCCACCTCCTGAGTAGCTGGGACTATGGGTGCATGCCACCAGGCTTGGCTAATTTTTTGTATTTTTAGTAGAGATGGGGATTCACCTTGTTCGCCAGGCTGGCCTCAAACTCCTGACCTCAGGTGATCTACCCACCTCGGCTTCCCAAAGTGCTAGGATTACAGGTGTGAGCCACCATGCCTGGCCTGCTGACTCTTCTTATAAAAACTGTAATCTTACTGTATTGGGGCCCTCCTCTTATGGACTCATTTGACCTTACTTACTTCCCTAGAGGAACCTGTCTCCAAACACAGCCGCACTAGGAGTTAATGCTTCAACCTATAAATTAGGAGGGGCACAAGCATTCAGTGTCTAGGGCTGATGGGAATTTATAAAGTGCAGAGAAGTGACAAGTGAGACAACTATATTTTAAACATAGTACGGGTATTGATCGACTTAGCACCTATGCAACTTCCGACCATTTGACTTTACGACCACAATCGCTAGCCACGACTGCTCCGCGTCTGGCAGCACAAACGTTGCCCAGCTGGGCATACAACAGTGCGGACCAGCTTCTGGCAGCACTACCATCTCTGCGTGCACCATTTCAACTGTACATATAGCCTACTCAACTTACGACCAAATCGTGTTACGACCAGTCCGCAGTCCCGACCGTGGTCGTAAGTCGATCACTAGCTGTATGTATATATCCATGAGGGATTGGAGTAGGATTGGCAGATAAACAGAGGGTACCCAGTTACATTTGAATTTCCGATTAACAACAAATACCATTTTAGCATAAGTGTGTCTCAAATATTACAGGAGGCATACTTATCTTTATAAAAATGGTTATCTGAAATCCAAATATAGCTGGGTGCCCTGTATTTTGATTTGCTAAATCTGACAATTCTTGTCAGGGAATCGTTACCTTCAGTGAACTCCTTATGGCATAGCGAAACTGGCACATTGTGGAGGACCTGGGAGACGCAGTGGGGACCTTGTTACAGTTTGTTAAGGAATGTTGGATCATAAATCATCACATCATGCCAGCCCATTCACCCCTTCTCTCAGACAATTTGGTAAAGTGAATCTCTATTTTCCAATTCTGTGGTTTGTATCATCTCAAAGACCATGTAAAATTACCTAGTCATTTTTGTTTAGTTCTACAGTTATGAGCTGGACTGTGTCTCCCAAAGTTTATATGCTGAAGAGAAGACTGTGTTTAAAGATAGGGTTTTTAGGCCAGGCACAGGGGCTCACGCCTGTAATTCCAGCAGTTTGGGAAGTCAAGGTAGACGAATCACGAGGTCAGGAGTTCGAGACCAGCCTGGCCAACACGGTAAAACTCCATCTCTACTAAAGATATGAAAATTAGCTGGGCATGGGGGCAGGTGCCTGTAATCCCAGCTGCTTGGGAGGCTGAGGCAGGAAAATCACTTGAACCCAGGAGGTGGAGGTTGCAGTGAGTGGAGATTGCGCCATTGCACTACAGCCTGGGCGAAAAGAGCAAGGCTCCATCATAAAAATAAATAATAATAAAAAGATAGAGTTTTTAAGGAAGTGATTAAATTAAAATCAGGTAATTAGTGCTGGTCCTGATAGAGTAGGACTGGTGTCCTTATAAGAAAGGCCACATGAAGACGTGGGGAGAAGATGGCCACCCATAGGCCTCAGAGACAGGCATAGAACCAGTGCTTCCTTCATGGCCGTCAGAAGGAACCAACCTTCTGTCGCCTGATCTTAGACTTCTAGACTTTAGAACTGCGAAGAAATACATTTGTGTCTCTTAAGCCACTCTGTCAGTGGTATTTTCTAATGACAGCCCAGGAAAACGAATACACCTACTTTTACAAAATAAAATAAGAAGAAATATTGGAGTTCATTTAATGTTAGAAAGCACTTTCTGAACCTCCAGTGGTGAGTTATGCGTCAGTTGCAACAGCTGAAAGGGGTTTTACAAACCATCAAGACCTGCTTTTACCGCTTTCACCTGAGCTTCCACTTTTACCATAGATAAGAACATCTCTAACTCTGAGGATCACAGGGTTAGAGATTTACCTGAGTGTGCCCTGAATTTAGAAAAGAATCTGAAGAACAGGAACATTTATAGATTAGCAATATTAAAATGAATGTGAAAATGGAAGTAAAACTCTTTTCACAAGTGGGTGAGGAAAGTCCCTTAGACCTCTGGCTGTGGTCTGAATGTTTGTGTTCCCTCAAAAGTCATGTGTTGAAATCCTAATTCCCATGGTAATGATATTAGGAGGTGTGGCCCTTAGGATGTACTTAGATCATTTGGATGAAGCCCTCATGAGTGGGATCAGTGTCTTTATAAAATAGGCACATGGGAGATCATTTGCCCTTCCCACCACGTGATGACATGTTCATCTATGAACCATGAAATGATCCCTCACCAGACTCTATACCTGAGAGTGCCATGGTCTTGGACTTCTCAGTCTCCAGAACTGTGAGAAATAAAGTATTTTTTTTCTACTTAGTTTATAATATTTTGTTATAGCAGCAAAAATAGACAAAGACAACCTCTAAAGATAGGGTTGAATTTGCAAGTTTAGAGACAAGAATTAATTCACACTGCTATTAGTTACCTACAATTTACATAGTTATAAAAGAGCTTGAAGACAAGGAAAGACTAAATCAGGAAATTTGGAGGATGAGCTGTGTACACAACGTGTAGTTTTCCATTGACACCTGCATTGTTCTCCACACGAGAATTCCTAGGTATCATATAAAATTTGGAAACAAAACTTATTACTTTGTGTTGCAGAGCAAAATAATATGCATGATCAGCTGCCCAGAAACCAGGGCATGTGAGCATCTAAGAAGAAAATCCGGGAAGAAAGACATCTCTCTCTCTGGCCAGCTTCTTTGGAGAACTGATAGCATCAAACAATATTAGAGCTGGAAGGGTCTGGAATATTGTTCTATATGCTCATGTTATGGATGAGGAAAGGGAGGTGCCAATTGTTGAGTTGACACGGTCCAGTTACATGGGATGGGATACCTGGGTTGCCAAGGCCAGGCAGGATGCTTCTCCATGATATTCCAGGGTGTTGGTGTCTGTTACAGCTTCCTACCCTCTTTTATTTTTCTTTTTTCCTGAGTCAGGGTCTCACTCTGTCATACAGGCTGGAGTGCCGTAATCACGGCTCATGGTCGTTTCTACCTCCATGAGCTTAGGTGATGCTCCCACCTCAGCCTCCCGAGTAGCTCAGATAACAGCTGTGTGCCACTACACTCAGCTAATTTTTGTATGTTTTAATAGTGATGGGTTTTGCCATGTTGCTCATGCTGACCACAAGCTCTCAGGCTCAAGCTATCTGCCCTCCTCGGCTTCCCAAAGTGCAGAGATTACAGGCATGATCCACTATGTCAGGCCCCTGTGCCTCCTTTAAAGTTGTGTATAAATTAGACTTTTATTTTATTTTTATTGGTGAGGTGGAGTCTTGCTCTGTCACCCTGGCTGGAGAGCAGTGGAGTGATCTTGCCTCACTGCAACATCCGCCTCCCAGATTCAACTAATTCTGCCTCAGCTTCTGGAGTAGCTGGGATTACAGGCCCCGTGCCCCAGTCATGCCTGGCTAATTTTTGTATTTTTAGTAGAGATGGGGTTTCACCACGTTAGCCACGCTGACCTCAAACTCCTGACCTCTGGTGATCTGCCCAGCTCTGTCTCCCAATGTGCTGGGATTACAGGCATGAACCATCATACCCAGCCCAAAATAGAATTTTTACATGGAAAAATCAAAGGTGAAACTGGAGCAAAAGTAGAAGTCAAGTGTCCTGGTGTCTGTTTACTTAAGCTGGGAGGCTGCTTCAGGAAGCTCCACTCCATGTGTCTTTTGTATGCCCAGAGCACTCTGCTCTTCTACACCTTTACTATGGTTGTTCTTCCTCCCTGCAGTGGGGTGCTTTCCCCTGCCACACCATCCCCTTCTCAAATCCACCATTTTCCTCCAAACTCTAGGCACTTTTATGATTGGCTTTATTTGTGCCTAAGCTCTTTCCTCCTCTGAAGACTCAAAAAAAGTCCTAGAGTGAATGATCCATGTCTTATGAATCTTTTTTTTACTTTTTATGTCCAAGGAAAGTTGCTCATTTATTCAGTCACTGTGAGTGCCTTGCAGGGACTGGGTCTGTCATGAGCAGCTAATACAGAATAGCCTGGAATAGAGCAGGTACTCATTAAAGGTTCTTAGAATGAATGACACTCATGAGTTCTTTATTACATATTTTCCTTCAAAATTGTTGGAAGAGCTTGAGATCCTGTTAATGTCTAGTGATGGGTGTGAAGGTGGAGATGGAATATAATGGAGAAACAATCAGAGAGTAATTTAAATATTAACTGAATGCTCTCCCTTCTCTGAGCACCCACATCCTTTAGCTGTTCCTCTCTACTAGCAGGGCTCATCAGTGCATGTTAGCTTGCACAGTACTCCACTTAAATTGGATTAATTCACTAAACTAAATCTGTACTAATGTACTTAGGCTTTATTTACACTGAATACTTAAATTTACACTCTAGTGAAATAAGTGTTTAACCTAAACATGGAACTCAAATGAAATTAATAGTACAATTTTAAATATACTTAATCACAAAGTGAGTATTGTCTTCTCTTTGCCAAATGGAAATGTTTAGCCCTGTGGCTCTTTAGCCACTCATGGAAAATATAGATTTGACCTTGACCATGAGGGGTTGGTCAAGTGAGGAGGATGGAAATGACTCTCCTTCGTGTTTTGCATATGTTACATTTAAGATGACACAAGAGGCTGATGCTTTTACTTTCATTTTACACATAGAGAGTATAGGTGACCTGCCCAAGTTTAGCCCATTGATAAGTGTAGGACACAGATTTAAAGTCAGGGCTGTCTGAACCATGTCACTGCTAATTCTACCACTCTTCATGTCTCCCCAAATCTGATACATTGTCATTGTTTTTTGTCTTGTGTGAAGAGTCCGTGGATTAGCTAAATTGTTAAATGACCCACAGAGAGAAAAGACAAAGCAGATTCAGCTACTGGGCCCTAGAACAATGAATGTCCACATCTAATTTCTCACTGAAAGTTGCTTATGAAAATTGCCTCTGAGGTTCAGTACACTTTTACATGTGTACTTCTCCAAAGCATCTAGCAAAGCCAAAGAATAATAGTGTGTGTTGTTTAATGATTTTTATTACATTTATGATTTATTCCCACCACACTCTGATGAGGATGAGTAATCATCCCTGTTTTACAGATCAGGAAGCTGATTCTTAATTATAATGATTATAAAGACAGGATTAGCTAATACTTGTTAACTGTTTCTTGTGGGCCAGGCACTGCTAAAAACACTTTATTGCATCAGGACATGTAATTGTCTATGGGAATAGATACTATTATTATCCTTGCTTCATAGACAAGGAAACCAATGCATAGAATGGTTACTGGATTGTCCAAGACTTCATAGCTGGTAAGTGGATGTGGCAGAAGAGAAATTCCAGCTCAGGTAGGTGGGCTGAGAGCTCACATTCATAATCCCTGAACAAAGATATTGAGTGACTTGCTTAGGGTAGAAAGGTTGGCACACAGGAAACCGTAG